TATGTTGTGGATTGGGGTATTTATTATACTTTGTAAAAATGTGTTTTTTCTGCCTGGAGATAATTAAGTTAGTGCATTATCTGCCCTAATTATCTCACAGGCAGAGAGGAGGGAATTATCTATTTGTATTGGGAGTGTCACATTTTGTCACTGTATTGTTATTGGCAATAATCTTTGTGTCCCTTTGCCCAACAAGGTCCACGTGGGTGTCAACCTTGTTGGGAAACTTGCATAAAAGGCCAGCTGTGGCTTCCATTAAACACACTTGTTTTACCCTCCATGAAGTCTAGGCTCACGTTTGGGGAATTGGAGAACTGCATACACTCTGGGGATTGCTATAATCACTATACTCCCCTGAGTATAATCACTAAGCTCTTGTAAGAGCTGTTCCTGCTACGCTCTCTCTCTAGACTAGGAGAGGTCTACCTACTGGAGCTGGATCCTGGCCTTGGGTCCATGGTGGGTGGAGGACGGTGAAACCCCAGCCAAGCTGCAGCAGTAAGTGGGGTTTACGGTGGTTATGGTGTTCCAGTGCAGTGCTGATGGTACTCGCAAGTACTAGGAAGCAGCGACCGACGGAGGTACCCAGTCAGGGTGCCAGGCAGTCCATCACAGGACACTATAGTCACCAGAACAACTTTCAGAGAAAATGCAGTGTTTACATCCTAGGGATACCTCCACTGGACACTCCTCAGATGGCTGGTAGAGGTGCTTCCTGGGGCAGTGCTACACACTGTACAGCACTGCCATTCAGTGTCTCCACCCTCTGCATTGAGTCACTGAACTGTCCTAATAGAGATGCATTGATTCAATGGATCTCTATGAGAAGCTGCTAATTGGCCAGGTCTGTGTTTAACTTTTGCTGGTTCTGCCCTGATCTGCCTCCTTGACAGTTTCAGCCAATCATATGGGAAAGCATTGTGACTGACTCACAGAATCACTTCTGATTATGTCAGTCAAGCAGGCAGATCAGGGGCAGCATCTGCAGATCTATATACAAGTAAGGTTTTACTATATTTAGGGAAGCAACGGGGAACCAAAAGATGCTAGATGGTGTTTTTTTTACACTACAGGGTCAGGAATATATGTTTGTGTTCCTGACCCTATAGTGTTCCTTTAAATCACCAGTATTCTCTATTTAATCAATAAAACTCCATTACAAAGTATTCTAGCTGTATCAGAGTATACCCTGTGATAAAGGTTTGTTTAGATATGTTGAGATGTTTTTTATAGGTGGGTGATGATACAGGTGTTGTCAAGGATTAGCACTGCACCTTGCAACATATTCCAACAAACCCAGCTGTCAGTTCATAGCTTCCAGATGTACCTTGCCAGCACATGAAAGCGGCAGAATTACTTTATTCTATTTTATTACTAAATGCATATTTCTTTGTCAGAATCTCTTGATGCAACATTTCAAAGAGTGCCAATATGATATAAACATTATGTGAAGCAAGGGTGCCCAGTCTCTCATGTACATTCTTGAGAAATTATTTTTGTATGATGTCTGCCTTTAACCCCTTAAGGACACATGACATGTGTGACATGTCATGATTCCCTTTTATTCCAGAAGTTTGGTCCTTAAGGGGTTAAATACACACAGAATGTGCGCACATGCATACATTCAAGTAAGATATGCTGAGGATTTGGATCTATTTAAATAGACATTGTTCATATTATTTCACTAAAGTGAGAATTCACAATGAATTTTAAAATTTAGGCCAAAATTGTCAAATTTGAAAAACAATCTTCAAATCAATAGTGTTTTTAGTTTAGCTAGTTTGAACTTGTGAAATTCACTTTGAATTCCCAGCCATTCTCATTTTAGCGAGTAACCCTGATTGTGCATTCTATTCATTAGATGTGGTTATACTTTAAAAAGTGTATTATTCAGTATTTCAAGTTAATTTCAAAACTTAAGTCAAATTACCCAACTTGGAAAATCTTCAGTGAGCTAAAATCCCGGTATAAATATTTAGGCCTAATATTTGAAATTCACTTTGAATCAATGATGATTAAAGGACCACTATAGTGCCAGGAAAACAAACTTTCTGGCTCTATAGGGTCTTTGGGTCCCCCCCACCCTCTGGATCCCACTCCCGCCAGGCTGAAGGGGGAGGATGGGGTTAAACCCTTACCTTTCTCCAGTGCCGAGGGAGCCCGAGGGACTCTCCTCCCTCTTCCGACGTCATCCACCGCGCGCGCATTCAATCAGTCCATCGGAAAGCATTTCTTAATGCTTTCCTATGGATGTCAGCATCTTCTCACTGTGAAAATCACAGAGAGAAGCGCGGAAGCATCTCTAGTGGCTGTCAATGAGACAGCCACTAGAGGCTGGATTAACCCTAATGTAAACAGTTTACAGCTGAAGGATTAACACTAGATGGACCCGGCACCCAGACCACTTCATTGAGCAGAAGTGGTCTGGGTTCCTATAGTGGTCCTTTAACAAACTCTTGAGTAAGCCTGTGAGATTTGGCCACTGAACTTCGATGTAGCTAACTGAAATCAAAATAGCAAAATGCAGGTTAAAGTAGCCAAGCTGTGACTATAGATGAAATGGCAACATTTTCCAGATCAATTATTCTTTCCTAAACTTTGCTATTCCTATTTTAAATCAATTCAGTTCAGTGTTTGAGTGTACAAAATATTAGGTATTCTTAAATCTATCAACATTGATGGTTCTGTCTAAGCTCCATAACCTGCAGCCCCTTTTAGGTTGCCTCCATTTTTACCCTCAGTTGCCTCAGTTGTCGTTTGGACATTAGTTAAAAGTATTCCATTGAGGAACTTACTTACCCAGCAGGCTCTTACAGTTCTGTCAAAATTATTGTTAGTGACTGCTCTCTGAATAGATTTTTCCATTCCAGCTCACAAACCCAGTGACTAAGTAAGCCACCATATTTAACCAAGTTTATTCCCATGGTCCCAAAACATTCCCTATACATTACTACACTTGTGGGTATTAAAGGGTATTATCCTGCTGAAACACCAGCTTGTAGCTGGCATGCTTGTGCTATGAAGTAATATACCCTGGTCAGGTGAACCCTCCCCCCCTTCTCCCCCAATGTATATAAGGAAATGTAAAATTATTTTTGTTTACATATTGTACAAAATGCACATGCAAGTGTATAATGATAAAATGGATACTGTATACTGTAGGTATTGTATTATATCTGAGTGCTGGTAAGTAATCTGCAACAGTATATGCACAGCATGTATATAAGTAAATTTGTGCATTCTGTAAATGCAGGTATGTAGTGAACAAATCAATTCATGAGGTATATAAATGTAACTACATGCTACATAAGTGCATTCACACACTAAAATCCTATAATGTTATAGACAACATAGATTTAAATGTTACGTAAAATTATCTATCTTAGCAAACAAATATATCGATTCAATTACACCATATGGTCATATAATGTTAAACCCACCACTAGGTTACAGAACCCCAATATCGGTGGGTCCTACACTAATTTTAACATCAGAGATTAATAAGATAAATGTAGAATTTACAGCTTATATTGTTACTGACAAACTACATTCACTTACACATTATATGTATGTCTGTATGTAGTCTGCAGATATATGCAGCGTGCAAGTTTAAATGTAATTTAGTATTCTGTAGATTCCAGCCAAGTCTCTCCCAATAGGCACCAGTAAAGATAAATAACATGAATTATATGTCTGTTCAGATGCAGAAAATGTCCCAGAATTTACACGAGAATTGTGACCCGAGTATAACCCTGTCTGACTCTGACATCATGCTGCCTGTCCTCCATTTCAGTAACTTCTGCAGAGCATTTAATCAATACCCACAGAGAGTGGGGCAGCTCAGTCCTTTACCATTCAAATAGAAAGAATGTAAAATATTATTGAGGGAGATTGTATTCTCTCACAAACACATCCACACACTGTGTCCAGTCAAATCATGTAGCATAAATCCTTTGACGGAAGCTGCAGCAATGAAAAATAAAAATGAATAAAGGAAAATTCTAACTGCTACAGCTAAAGCATGTTACAGCCCCCCCTCCCCCCTCACAACTCATACCTTAGTCCTCCCATTGCGCAAGAGACCACATGCTCATATGCTTTAAAATGTTTATTTTTCTTTTTTAAAAGGCGTTTATCACCATAAACTTATGTTTCACCAATTGTTTCCTCTTCTACTTATCTGTTAATCTGTTTTACTTTTGTTCTTTTTCAATATTTTTTCTTGTAAAATATATAAAACAAAAAAGAGACCACTTTGTCTTATGTATTTCTACAAAGCATGACAGATTTTGACAAAGGGTGGAGCTTAAAGGGATACTTTAGTGTAAGGAATACAAAGCTGTATTCCTTAAACTATACTTCCCTCTGTCTCCCCTCCCTCGTGGCTCCTGACCTGGCATTGTAAAGGGTAAAAAACCTCCACTTGGTACTGTAACGGGTCAGTTCTCCGCCTCCTCTGACATCACCCAATGGGGGGCTAATGTGCATGCAATGCTTTCCTATGGGTTTTCTTTGACGCTAGATGTCCTCATGCAGAGTCCGAGGACGTTCATCATCTGTTAAGTGACCAAAAGTCGCCAACAAAGCAGGAAATACCTTTAGTGGCTGTCTGATTGACAGCCACTAGAGGCAATCTGGGTCCTGCAGATGTCCTCATGCAGAGTCCGAGGACGTTCAGCATCTGTTAAGCAACCAAAAGTCGCCAACCAAGCAGGAAATACCTCTAGTGGCTGAAAGGGTTAATGTTGTAATGGACTCTAATCCCCTCGGTTCTCGATCCCTCGGTCACCATAATCAACGTTGATGGAGGATCATTGTAAGCAATAACACACGGACAACAGCTTTACAAGACTCTCAAATGAGTGTATTCCAGAGCTGGCTTTTATACATAGTTTGCTTACATTAGCCATGGTATATGCAAATACAGTACAGACTATAAGATTTATTACTTCCTTATATTACGTTATTCTGACAATGGAAAGATAAGCTTTTGCATACGTCTGGAAAAGAATATCCTGAAATCGGAATGGGCAAGACATCCTGAAATTTTAGCATTGTCTTACATCCTATAGAAGAAATACCTTAGTCTGTCACAGTCAGCATATTGACTTTAAGTATTCAATATCCCTTCAGTCAGCAATAATCATGTTATAAACCTTATAAAAGCATAAAATACATATAAACAAGTTAACTATTTAATATTCTTACATTCCCCTCTTTGAGCAATAAAACAATTGCTCATCTTATCGATAAAATCTTACCAGGACAGAGAAACCTCCACATGGTATTTTCAGGGGTGCTAGTCACTCCCTGCGGGACTTTCATTAATTTCTTCACCTCGATTCCCATGTGGTAATTCCTAAGGCCTAGTTTAAAAATGGGTTGATACTCTACAGTGGCAGAGAGGAGAATTTCTAATTGTTTCTGTTCTGCATTATGGATTAATTTCTGTACTCACTTCCTCAATGTACAACTAAGGTGACAGTTATATAAAATCATACACAATAAAATCAGGACTATAATAACAAAATGATAGAAGAATGATTTCATTATCTGAGATCCAGTAGGGGACCAACCAGTGAAGCATCGTACCAATGATGGGCTAAATCATTCTGAATTTGTGAACTCACCTTAAGGAGTTCTCCTTTTAGGATATGTGTGGCTACCTGTGTATGTTATCTTTGGGAAAAATATAGTCCCCTGTGTATGTGGGTGCCCACCAGGTTAAATTCTTGGCAAAAAGATCATAAACTGGTACTGGTAATGTGTTAAATTGACAAGCTAATTTAACATCCTTTGATGATGTATGATATAATGTAAAATAGCAAGAGCATGAAAAATGTGAAACATTACCAGTTAACCATCCATTGCATTTACTGGATTGGGGTTTTAGAAGTAACCAATCATTATCTGTGAGGTTACACATTCCTCTAATCTTCTCTAGTTTAGGAATCATTAGTGTGTTTTCTAATGCCAATCCTTGTTGTTGTATCCATAAATACCTGATGGCACAAGTACTCCAGTTACTTAGACCTGTAGTGAATTTCATAGTTGCAACAGTTAAATTATCTAAATAATTATACATTGATTTATCTAAATCCAATCCTCTAACCTGTGATTTAACAACAGTTGGAGCCCAGTTTGCAGTAGCATGGAAACCAGTCCCTATATGCATACTGGCTGTATTTAACTTATTCTTGAGGGTCTCCATATCTATAACTATTTAGTATACCCATAGTGGTTCCAGCACCATCTAACAGTGTGTCATACCATTCCCTTTTCTGCCTTTTGTTTGTTGTGTTACATAATGTTACAACAAGAGTAGTGACTTTTAATGACACATGTACAGCTTGTAAGAAGGCAGTTGTATTAACACATGTGGATGGAATAGGTGTGTGTGTGTGTCGTGTTTGACTTTTGGTTCTATGATAGTGGATGAAGGACAGTAATAAGGTGTAAAAATATAAGATAGTGTACAGTTCTCAATTGCAGTGTCGTTCATAATGACTAACATTTGTCCCCTTTTCCAATTAATGATACCAGTTATATAATCATTATTAAAAGTAATAAGGCCTGTCTGTTTACATTGATATGCAACCTTAACTGTGCACATTTCTGCGTTATAAGATCTAACAATTTTCTGTGAACCTTCAAACAAACATAATGCAATGGTTTCATTAGCTGTAGACACATTTCATATGGGTAACTGGTACTTATAAGGGTTACTATTTGTCCAATTCATCCAAATGCGTTCAGTAAATGAATGATTGCATATTGCATGCTGATAGAAAGTTGGTGGAGAAAGGTTCTTGAGGGAGCGTGTGTGACGAATGCTAGATGAGGGGCTAAGGCCTAATTGGGCTGGGGGTATTGAAGAATTGTTCATCATGTCAGAGTCTTTTTCCAGAAACAAACAGGTTTCAAACTTGCCATTGACTTGTACTCATAATGGCATTCAATGAACAATATCAGAGGGAGTATAACAACTCCAGAAAGCATAGCACACAACATAATCTTGGTCTCAGGTACGTATGATCCTCTCAATCTACGATATGGTGTAAAAGCCATGATGCTTCGCTGAGGAGAAATTCTTCTGTTTCCGAGCGAGGAGTGGTGTTGTCTTCCTTGGTTCCCCTCTTTGGACACAGCTTCACTCGGGATGCGTGAATCCAGATGTCATGGGAATCTGTGAGGACAGCGGTTCTGGGTACAGCAATCACAGTAGCAGGTGGTCCAAAAGGGTATCCTCCTTTCTTGGTCCTGTTCAGCTGACGGATATACACCTTGTCACCGGGCTGGTATGAATGAGTAGGTTCCTGTGAAGGTAAGGGAAAACTGCGAAGAAACATTGTCATACATACCATTCGGTTTTATCAACAATTCATCTTGTGGGGATATATTCTTATCTCAGCTAAAATAGCTGGTAGATATCTAGTCCAATTTTCCCATGTTCCTGGGTAAATTCTGGGCTTTTCCTTAATAGTCCTATTCATCCTTTCAACTACCCCTGTATTCTGTGGATGATAGGGTATATGAAACTGCCAGGTAACTTGCAAGAATTTAGCAAGTTCCTGGGCAACCCCACTTGCAAAAACCGGGCCATTATCAGAGCCAATCTGCAGAGGGCAGCAATACCGGGGAATAATTTCAGTAACAATAATCTTCACTAGCATCTTCCCTAGATGTCACAAAGGCCTCATGCCATCTACTAAACTGATTAACTATGACCAGTAAGTATTGCTGTTTCTTACCAATTTTGGATACATGAATAAAATCAATCTGTAAGTGTGTAAAAAGAGCAGCGTTCACACGATCTTACAAAAGACTGTACATGCTGCCTGAGATTCCTAATATAAAATGAATTCATGAGGAATTGAATGGTGCTTGCTATGTGCCTGACTGATGAAAATAAATCAGCTTGCTTCAAGTATGCCTATTCTTCAAGTATGCCTATTCTCCCCTCTTTAGAGAACAGATCATTTTGATCTTTCTCTAAACCTTGTTTAATCCAAAAGACAGATTCTGGGTATTAAAAAAAAGAATCTCATAACCACTGAAGCGCTGGGCTGTCATGTGTTGTGTGGTGAGATTTGTCAGCTGAGTGACCTGGTGACTGGCATGAAGTATTGTAGGATGCCCTAGTGTGATAGTAGTAGCAGTTTCAACAGCCATTGCACATGCTATCAATGCTCTGAGACACGCCGGCATACCCTGTACCGGAGCTCGAACTACTTTGGAAAAGAATGCTATGGGACGCATACCGCCTCCTTGCTCTTGTGCACAGACCGCGGCCATGGTTTTACAATTGTCCCAAGCATACAAATGAAATGGTTTACAATACACAGGTAGTCCTAAAGCCTGGGCTTGCACAATAACAACTGTAAGGGCAATATATGCAGCTAGCATGTCTGGTGACCAGCAGACATTTTCAGGGCTGTCAGAACGTACAGCCTCCCTTAGGATTGAGTCATAATGGGAACATTCAGGGATCCATTGGCGGCAGTAATTAATCATGCCGAGGAAGGTGAGCAACTCCTTCCGAGTAGTGGGTGTAGGAATCCTCTGAATGACCTCAATACATTTTGGACTCAATTGTCTGGTGCCTAAAGCCAGAACAAAACCTAAGTATTCAACCTTTGATTTACACAATTGCATTTTGTGTTTAACAACCTTGTGACCCACAGTTGCTGACAGTATCCACAGTGCTTGCCTCATAGCTAGGGCTACATAACAACAAATCATCAACATTTTGCAAAAAGGACGGAACCATGACCGGTGGTCCATGTTTTTTAGAGTATGTTGGAGTACCAACGAATAAACAGCTGGGGAATCCACATAGCCTTGGGTAAGCGTGTCCAGGTAAACTGACAGCCTTCAAAAAGTAAAAACCATAAGTAGCTGTGTCTCTTGATCAATAGGTATAGAAAAAATGCATTACTTAAATCAATGACAGTGAAGCAAGTGGCATCATGTGGAATGGCTGTAATGAGGGATGTCACATCAGGGACAATGGGTGAAATGGGCACAATTAAACTATTCAGGGCTCTAAAGTCCTGAACTAAGCGATATGCTGGCCAGTGGTGTTGGGAGTGGGTCTGGTGTTGTTCTTGCCTACCGGGCATATTTTGAGAATTGTGGGGTTGTTGGGGTGTGTGGGGTTTCCTGGGGTTTCCTGGGGTGTGGACACTCATTCCTCCAGTGGCCATATTGGCCACAGTTGAAACAAGTGTTCCTGTCTATTCCTCCTTGGTTACCCCTGCCCCTATAATCCTGATTTCACTGTCTCCATCCCCTTGCCCCTCTTTGACCACCCCTTCCACGGGCTTTATGTGCTCCATCCCATCCTCGCTCTCAGCCTGTGTAGCTGGACATGTTGCAATCCCTGAGCATAATAAGCAACCTTACTTTCCTAAATCTTTTCTTAATTCAAAACAACCTGCATTTTCCTTTTCTATAACCTTGGTAAGAAAATCTGAGCTATCCAAATTGTCCCAGTCTGAAATCAATTGTTTCACAAGCAAAGAATACTGTGGCAACATATTACCAAGGCATGACTGTATTTTAAAGAGATCTATATCATCTCCAGACATCAAACCTGCCTCATCCTTCCAACACTTGTAAAATTTCTTTACAAAAATCATATTACCAATCTCTTCCTTTGCATCTTGCTTATATGCCAAAGCAGTGAATATAGACTGCTTATTCTTCCATAATCCCAACATTTCAGCTTCCACCTTGTTCCAAATTTTAGCACATCTTACTGAAGTACTAAGCTCATAATCACCAATTCATTTCAAACCATATAACTCATACTCAGCATCCCATGTAATATTAGTCATCTCATAAAACAATATCTTTGTAGAAACACATAATGGGTACCCAGCAGATATGCCAATACAGAAATCACATTTATGGGCACACAACTACACACTCTGTCTCCCTCCTAGGAAACACGGGTAAACACAATATAAAAGCAATCTTAAACTAACACCTCCAAATCTCCAACTATTCTTGGCCAAAACGCTAGTATTCAACAACTAATAAAACAGTTATTTGCTAGGTTATTTGGCTGTCATTCTTATCAGTATCACTAGACTGTGACAAACTGATTCACATATAATTTAAAACAATACAGCAACATATAAATTAAACCACTTTCAAGTTTAACTGCACACTTATCACACATTATCACAATCACCATTTACACAGAATAAACAGTTAACAGCTGTATTCAGAACATATTATTGGAAGGTATACCAATTTTAGTTTAGATTTATTTTAGGGATTCTTATGTGTACATTTTCTTAATTAACTTCATTACTTTAATCTACTATAGTATTATATTTAAAGAAAGGATCCATTTATATAGCGCGCTCATAACTCAACTATTTGTATAAAACTACCATTAACTAATCTGAGATGATGCTGCATCAACTTAAATCCTATAGAAATTGAACAAACATCTGGACCAGATTAAACAGACATGGTTTCACCTGAATCTTTCAGAACTCTCAGAGACTTAAAAAATTTATACTATACCATGTTTTAAAGGCATGGCAAACCTTTAGACCGGTCAGTCTCCAAGAGTCCTTTGTAATACAGGTAAAAACCTTTGTCCATGATGTCTGATTCAGGCTATATACCACAATTTAAAATAAAACATAATGTGAGACATAGAAGACACAAGCAGTAGTTATTACACTGGATCATTTAAAAGGAACCTGTTGCAATAAAAAGGTTAGTTTACAGCGCAAAATAAAGCATGTGTTGGACCGCTGAAAATGTAAATGTTGCTCTGTTATTTTCAAACAAAAATTATATTTACAGTATGGATCTTTTGCAACAAACACACAGGGCAGGGAAGATGTGCTGATTGGTGTTTCTATACAATTAATCCCATATGGGGAATTAACTTTCAAATACTAATGAAGTGACTTTTTGTCTCAGTTATAAAATATACTGAGCTCATCATGCAAACAATGCAACACATTTACACTATCCCACTCTCATAATAAGTGTAGTGGGCTTATAGTATTTTTAAAGCAACAATCATTCCAGGCACACAGTTCCCATGTGAAATAACTTACAATAAAACAGAGTAATAAACTTATACTTCTATGCGACAGAAAGAATAAAGTAAAAAGATTTAAGTAGGTCTATCAGGTACAACCTATGAGTCATTTCTTTTCTAATATACAGTACTGCTATCTTGCAGAAAGATAAGTCCTGCGCTCACTCCCATCACTACTGGGCAGCAGCAAGGACTACAGTACACATCAGTCCCAATATATGGTAAAAACCAAAGAAAAACAAGTTACCTGCATTCTCTCCTTAATCCCTATGTATTTTTAAAACCTCCATTTGTTTAAAAGTACTGCTATCTTATATATACACATATACATATACACACACATATATATACATATACACACACATATATACATACATATATTGGTCACTCAGGACATGAACTCACATTTCCCATACTGCTGACTCAGAGTGGGGACACTACTAACTTACCAAAGTGTGTCCCCAATATAGACAAACAATCACCCACAAAAAACACTTAAGACAAACAAAGGTGACCGGGAGAAAGAGAAGTTTGGGTTATACTTAAAGATCTACAAACCGTGCTGCTCAGAACACCTATAGACTTAATAAACCAGAGACCTCTTATGGTCTCAAAAACCTGTATCTACCTGAGATACCCTGTATCTATCTTAGATACTAACCTGGGTTACCAAAACCCTATAATAAACCGGAGACCTCTTATGGTCTCAAAAACCTGTATCTATCTTAGATACTAACCTGGGTTACCAAAACCCTATATATATTTAGACCAAATGTCTAATAAACCGGAGACCTCTTATAGTCTCAATATAACTAGAGTCCTTACACCTTTCCTATCTACTGGATACAGTCTTACTGAACCAAAGGGGGTCATAGACAATCAGCGTCAAATAAGACACAAAAAGGCTACTCACCGCAAATGGTTTTGCTGATCCACTTCTATCCCACTTCTAGACACCAAGCTGAAAGGGTTAATGTTGTAATGGACTCTAATCCCCTCGGTTCTCGATCCCTCGGTCACCATAATCAACGTTGATGGAGGATCATTGTAAGCAATAACACACGGACAACAGCTTTACAAGACTCTCAAATGAGTGTATTCCAGAGCTGGCTTTTATACATAGTTTGCTTACATTAGCCATGGTATATGCAAATACAGTACAGACTATAAGATTTATTACTTCCTTATATTACGTTATTCTGACAATGGAAAGATAAGCTTTTGCATACGTCTGGAAAAGAATATCCTGAAATTGGAATGGGCAAGACATCCTGAAATTTTAGCATTGTCTTACATCCTATAGAAGAAATACCTTAGTCTGTCACAGTCAGCATATTGACTTTAAGTATTCAATATCCCTTCAGTCAGCAATAATCATGTTATAAACCTTATAAAAGCATAAAATACATATAAACAAGTTAACTATTTAATATTCTTACAGTGGCTGTCTGATTGACAGCCACTAGAGGCAATCTGGGTCTTGCAATGTAATTATTGCAGTTTCTTAAAAACTGCAATGACATACATTGCAGGCAGGGCCGGCCTTAGGGGTGTGCAAGCTGTGCGGTCACACAGGGTGCCATGGAGCAGGGGGCGCCATGCGGCCGCACAGCCAGCCGGGATTTAAAAAGAAACTTGGTGGGGCGGAGCTTCCCGTGCTGCAGGGGGTGGGGCTTCCCTACGACGGGGGCGGAGCTAAACATGCTGGATAAGTGCTGCAGGGGAAGCAGGAAGGAGTCCCTGCTTCCCCCAACAAACAGTCTCCAGGAGCTGCACTGCCTGTCTGCCTCCACAATGAACAGAGGTAACTATGTGTGATTGTCTGTGTGAGTGTAACTGTCTATGTGTGTCTGTGACTGTTTGCCAGTGTGTGTGTGTCTGTGACTGTCTGTCTGTGTGTGTGTGTGTGTCTGTCTGTGACTGTCTGTATGACTGTCTGCCTGTGTGTGTGTGACTGCTGGCCTGTGTGTGTCTGTGACTGTCTGCCTGTGTGTGTGTCTGTGACTGTTTGCCTGTGTGTGTGTGTGTGTCTGTGACTGTCTGTATGACTGTCTACCTGTATGTGTGTGACTGCCTGCCTGTGTGTGCCTGTGTGTGTCTGTGACTGTCTGTCTGTGTGTGTGTGTGTGTGTGTGTGTCTGTGACTGTGACTGTCAGTATTACTGTCTGGCTGTGTGTGTGTGTGACTGACTGCCTGTCTGTGTGTGTGTTTGTGTGTGTGTGTGTGTTTGTGTTTGTGTGTGTGTGTTTGTGTGTGTCTGTGTGTATGACTGTCTGCCTGTGTTTGTGTGTGTGTGACTGTGTGTGTGTGTGTGTGTGTGTCTGTGTGTATGACTCTCTGCCCTATGTTTGTGTGTGTGTGACTGTGTGTGTCTGTGTGTATGACTGTCTGCCTGTGTTTGTGTGTGTGTGACTGTCTGCATGTGTGTGTATGCATGACTGTGTGTGTCTGTGTGTATGACTGTCTGCCTGTGTTTGTGCGTGTGTGACTGTGTGTGTGTCTGTGTGTATGACGGTCTGCCTGTGTTTGTGTGTGTGTGACTGTCTGCATGTGTGTGTGCGCACGTGACTGTCTGCCTGTGTGTGTGAGTGACTGTCTGCCTGTGTGTGTTTGTGTGGCTTTCTGCCTGTGTGTGTGTGACTGCCTGCCTCTGTGTGTGTGGATGTCTTCCTGTGTGTGTGGATGGCCACCTGCCTCTGTGTGTGTGTGTGTGTCTGTGTGTGGCTGTCTGCCTGCGTGTATGTGTGTGGCTGTCTGTGTGTGTGTGGCTTCCTGCCTGTGTGTGTGTGTGTCTGTGACTGTCTGTATGACTGTCTACCTGTATGTGTGTGTGTGACTGCCTGCCTGTGTGTGTCTGTGACTGTCTGTGTGTGTGTGTGTGTGTGTCTGTGACTGTCAGTATTACTGTCTGGCTGTGTGTGTGTGTGACTGACTGCCTGTCTGTGTGTGTTTGTGTGTGTGTTTGTGTGTGTGTGTGTTTGTGTGTGTGTGTGTTTGTGTGTGTCTGTGTGTATGACTGTCTGCCTGTGTTTGTGTGTGTGTGACTGTGTGTGTGTGTGTGTCTGTGTGTATGACTCTCTGCCTGTGTTTGTGTGTGTGTGACTGTGTGTGTCTGTGTGTATGACTGTCTGCCTGTGTTTGTGTGTGTGTGACTGTCTACATGTGTGTATGCATGACTGTGTGTGTGTGTCTGTGTGTATGACTGTCTGCCTGTGTTTGTGTGTGTGACTGTGTGTGTGTCTGTGTGTATGACGGTCTGCCTGTGTTTGTGTGTGTGTGTGAGACTGTCTGCGTTTGTGTGTGTGTGCACGTGACTGTCTGCCTGTGTGTGTGAGTGACTGTCTGCCTGTGTGTGTTTGTGTGGCTTTCCGACTGTGTGTGTGTGACTGCCTGCCTCTGTGTGTGTGGATGTCTTCCTGTGTGTGTGGATGGCCACCTGCCTCTCTGTGTGTGTGTGTGTGTGGCTGTCTGCCTGCATGTATGTGTGTGGCTGTCTGTGTGTGTGTGGCTTTCTGCCTGTATGTGTGGCTGTCTGCCTGTCTTTGTATGTATGTGGCTGCTTGTCTGTGTGGCTGTCTGCCTGTGTGTGTGACTGTCTGCATGTAAGTATGTGTGTGTAAGACTGTATGTGTGGCTGTGTGTAAAACTGTATGTGTGGCTGTGTGTGTGTGGCTGTCTGCCTGTAATTGTGTGTGAGTGAGTTTATCTACCTGTAACTTTGTATGTGTGTTACTGCCTGTACCTGTGTGTTTCTGCCTGATCCTGTGTATGTGACTATCTGCCGGCGACTATGTGCATGTGGTGGATTTCACAGTGTATATGTATAACTGTGTGCATCTGACTGTGGGAATGTGTGCACATAACTCTGCAAAAATATACACCTGCATTCACACATAGGCCTAAGTGTATGGTTTTATCTGAATTAAATAACCATCACACACAGCCAATAAACCCAGCACAAACATCACATACAACCAATACATGCATATCAAACACTGTTAATACACCCATTACAAATATCACACACAGCCATCACATAGCATACATATCACACACAGTCAGCACATCTATCACAAACACAGACAACACAAACATTACATCATACATGGATGACAAGGGGGGGGAGGCGGCGCTGTGAAGATTTTCCGCACAGGGTGCCTAAAGGCCTAAGGCCGGACCTGATTGCAGGACTAACTGGGACTAGGACACTGCACCCAAACCACTTCAATAAGGAAATCTACACTTCCTTTGTCAAGATTCGTCAAATTCCATTTTTCCACAATACATCCTCTGTCCTCTGTAAACTCGGGATCCATCTCTTCTCCTCTGGGCATCATGCATCCCCACTCTTTATTGCACTGGGCATGCGTGAGATCAGAAATGAGGGGGAGAAGATGCGCCAGATAGGAAGAAGGTTAGGCATTAAACTCTAAGAACTTTTCCGAAGACAAAATGGAGGACCTGTACCAAACTGTTACACGGTCTCTCTGTTACATGCTGGGGTCTCACAGACCTCAACATATATTCTTTTTTAACATGCTTTATTTTTTTATTTTGTACAACATGTTAGTTGTTTATACTACTGTTATTTACACTAGTGTCACTTTCCTAATCGGATGTTACTCCTGCCCCGCCTAACATGAAGCTGCAACTCCATCTAATAAATAACTAGTTGTGCTACCTTTTCTATGTTTTCCTATTGAACAATTTTGCTTTTGTCCAGAGCATTTTTTTCCCATTATGATTGAGTTAAACCTGCCAGCGTTCGATGGAGTTTGTCTGCTCTAACACTCCACAGGTTCTATATGAGTCTGAACTGAATCCATCAAAATGGCCTGTACAGTAAGTGAGCTTTCACAGAGATCAGTATATCACTAAGAGGCACAGATTCTGCTGTCACCAAGGAATGATGGTTGGCCAATTAGTGATTTGAGTATTGCTGTACATGTGGCTACTTGCACATTCCTCTTGGGACACCATGCATAATCATCATGCTTTGGTAGCCAAACCTGACCCAAACTTGCTCTTGGAGGACTGAGAATGTGGGCCACTAATCCAAGAACAAAAGGGTTGCACATTTAACCTGTGCTGGCCTGGCTGCTAGCGCTGTTCAATTCTTCTTGTTGCTTGTCTCAGACAGTGCTTTGTTATTACCAGCTCTATGTATCTCCCTCTGAACGTTATACGAAATAAAGAGGGAGCTATGAAGATGCAGCCCACTTTGTAGTGGCTTAGGAGCAAATGCCCATAAAGTCTTGTGAATGTATATCTTTATACCTAGTGATGTACCGAACGGTTCGCCGGCGAACGGTTCCTGGCGAACATAGCATGTTCGCGTTCGCCACGGCGGGCGAACATATGCGCGGTTCGACCCGCCCCCTATTCGTCATCATTGAGTAAACTTTGACCCTGTACCTCACAGTCAGCAGACACATTCCAGCCAATTAGCAGCACAGCCTCCCTAGCAGACCCTCCCACCTACTGGACAGCATCCATTTTAGATTCATTCTCAAGCTGCATGCTTAGTAAGAGGAGGGAAAGTGTAGCTGCTGTTCATAAGATAGGGAAAAGCATAGCTAGGTTAGGGATAAGGGTATGCTTTTTTTTTATTTTTTTTTTCTATGTAATGTAAATGCACTTAGTTGTCTGCCACTGCTGCCAGCTTCTGTGTCAGGCTCACAGTGCCCATTTCCCCAGTCAGTGCCACCAATTACATCTGGTGTCACAATAGCTTGGATTTAAAAACAAAAAACTTTTTCACTGTTATAGATTGAATAGCAGTCAGTTGTCTGCCACTG